CGTGAGCTGATTTCATTGGGAAGATGGATAGAGTTAAACTCTGCCTGATACCCACCACATTCCACAGCCTGTGTGATGCAGTGGGGTCATTCCAGAAGCAGGCCTCAGTGGAATGTGACATACGTCACCAACTCTGAGTAACTGTTAGTGGGATGCCTGTAGGTCCTGCATCTGCTTGCTTGGTGAGTCAGGACTTCCAGAGCTCTGCATACACGGAAGCCTTAAAAGATTAAACCTTCTTCCACAGTGTAACATTTCAGCTGTAAATGGCATAGGTTGCTGCTATGCATCCCAGCTCCTTGGCTGCTCTGCTGTTGCTTTGCCATGTATTTTCCTGGATAATTTTTTTCCAATGGTTTACCTTTCCTCAGCACAAGCATTTTTCATCTCCCTTTGTAGAATTTCAGCTTTGGAGGCTTGATCTAGTTCTTTGGATAGAAAGATCATTTTTATTCTAATCTTGTCCTTCAAAGTGCTTGCAAAAGCTCTGCTTCATGGCTTAGGAAAATATAAGGGTTGACTGGATCAGAACAGATCCTTAGGGATTACTGCAGAAAATCTGAGTTTAACAACAACATACCCATAGTAATCTTTTAATGTATTTTTAAGCAAGTATTATGGTGATTTCATTTGCACTTTGATTTTCTCCAGTTGCTTATCAGAATATTCTATCAAATATTATTAAAATCTTAAAAAGCCAAATTTCATCTATATCTTTATCTTTGGGCTGGTTGTCTCTCAGCAAGGCAAATTAGCCTCTTTGACACTATTTGTCTTATACAGTGCAATGATTATTTTTTGTATAATTTCATTATCCTTCAAGGTCCATGGAAATGTATGGTTTAATAATTTGTTTTGGGTTTTGGATGCTCAGGCTTTTTGCACTATTTTATTTCATAAAAACCTGGAACATCAGACTCAATGATCTTAAAGGTCCTTTCAAACCTGAACAATTCTGTGATTCTATAATTTTTGCATAATAACTTTTGCATGATAATTTAACATCATAACTTTTTCTGAGGTTTATCTTACAAAGTGCAGCTCCATTTGCAATGTGAAAAAAGACTCTGCAACGTAACTTGTCTGTGCTAGTCCTAGTTCTGCAATACTAGCAGTGATCAGATAAGTCTCTTTTTGACACTCTCCCACTGACAGTTTGCTTCTCACTACTTATTTTCCTCTCAAGTATATTTTGAAGATTAATGAATATTTATAAAATGTTTTGAGTGAAACCTGTACATGAAAAATGCAAAAGAAGTTGAAAATATCATAATTACTGATGTTTATTATTTTTTAAAAAGAAAGACTCTATGGCAATCAATATCTGTGGAGATTTATGAACTATAAAAATAGAATGAGGACTCTAAAGGTACTACAGGAAGTTGTGGCCTGAGGAAGAAAGCCTTGCAATGACACAAGGAACAGTGGGCAAGTTTTGTTGATAATACTGACTGTTGAAATATATGCTGGATGAAGCATTTGTATTACAAAAGTACGATGGAATTCTTTTCAGTCTGCAAGTAATTAAGGATGAGGTTCATCATGATCATAAGTCATATTCATAATTTTAAAACAGTATGATAAGATAACATATACTAGAAAACTCTAACAGATCTGTCATGAGGGGTCTCATTTGTAAGAAATCCTGGCTTGTCAGTGAAATTTCAGAAGATTCACAGTATCCTGCCAATGTTTAAGGAAAGAACATTAAATAAACAGAGCAATCAGGATGACCCAGCTTAGATGGTTAACGTGACACCAGGCCCAAATAGCACAGTACGAAAGTTGATTCTTAGCCAGGTTGTAAATAAGTCAATAATTGGCAATAATTTTAATTTTTATCAACACTGTCTTGTTGATAAGTCCAGTTCAATTCATTGATAAGAGTTTTACATCTGTTTCCTCAGATTGGTGTAGGAATTATTTCCCAACCAATTTCCCAAAGCATTTGACTACCATTGTGACATTTTAATAAAGACCTTAGTAAAGTCTAGTGTCACTAAATAGAGAGGCATTTCAGTGGTCTGGGCCAGTGTGGCTCCAGAGGCAGGACACGTACTTTTGGGCTGTGATGCATAGAGGCACCTACCTAATCAGGCAGCATTAGCTGGGGATGTCTGCAGCCACCACGAACTTGGATCTTTCTTTTCCCTGGTTACCTTCAGGGTGTATTGCTGTGATTTGTTTTTTAGCCATTTGTGTTATTTTTCATTTTGCTTAATCTGAGTTATCCTAGTCTTTCTGTAAATGTAAAATATCCACTGATAGCATTTCTGAGTATCACAAAGGTTGTTTAGGGTGTAAAGTACTGTGTGTATAAAGCAACTAGACAGAGCAACAGTGACTTAAGAAGATTGGCATATTCATGTGAAGTTTTTGTAACACGAGTGCAAAGTAAGGAGCTAAGAACTAAGATCACTGTTCACACCTCTGGGACCAAGGAGCTCTAGAGTGGAAAACTGTCCCATAGGGACAACTGAGAAGTTCTTGAATTTTTGTCCTAGAAGAGAGATGACCTAGAAGAAATATGGTAGCTCTGCAAAATTATTTGAGTTACAAAGAGTTAAATGGCTTGCTTAGGGTGCATCATGAGTCAGTGGGAAAGTTATGAATAGGAGCAAAATGATCTTTCTTGGTCCTTTATCTTGCTGTAGAACCCAATGTTCTTCAAAAGCATGCAATAACCAGTCTTATGGGTCATCCTGAAACTAAGCATGGAGGAGTTTGTTGAGAGTGGTTTCAAAAGTAATTTAGTCAGAGCAAAGAGAAAAAAGTGGAATGGGAAGAAAAAGAGCAGAGAAACAGGCAGGAACAATTGTGCTATACTTAACAAAAAGTATGAAGAAAATGTCTGTCCATGGTGATACAGAAAAGGTTGGTGTTAAGGCAGTGAGAGGGGATAATTAATTCTTGAATTTTGAGCATAGCAAAATAAAATGCAGGAAAATTTCTGCTCTGATTCAGGTGCAATAAAAGACAGGAAAGAACAGAGTTAGTGAAATAGATGGAGAAAAGGACTGTCAGAGATTTACAGAAGACTAAATTCTTGTTCTTTCATTCCTAACAGTAGAACTGACAAATTGAGTTAGCACAAAATACAGATGTGGCAAAGTATCATTCTGAAAACAATTCAGTGCTGGTAGGAATTAGTCCATTGTTAAGTGTACTGAGAAGCTGGTTGGAAGCAGAGCATGACCTAATGGGTTTAGCATTACTTTTGCAGCTGTGTGAAACCATTCCAATAAATAAACAGCTCAGTGAAGAAAGTGTGTTAGATTTTTAAGATTCTCCCAGTTAAGAGGATATGCCAAGTCATTGTTTCAACTGTGGAACAGATCCTTAAATACTGTAAGGCAACCAGATCCTTTGGAAGCACCAAGATGATGCTGATTTTCACAATTTGATAATGTGACCCCCAAATTCAACCCTTCTCATGACTTCTGTGGTGATGGCATTGCAAAAGGTAGAGAATGGCAAAGACCTGTCCACTCTGCAGTGATGTCAGAGGAAGTATGGATGCATAACTGAAAGCAGGATTTCCTTAATTTTTACCTGAAAAATCCCTCTGGGACTGGTGAAGATTTTTAGTTTGACTATAACAGTGATGCTGGGAAACAATTACTGATGGGAGAGACCTGACTGGAGCTGTCCCTGATACTTTGGTTTCTCAGAGATCATTATATTTGCAATAATTCAGTGGGAATAATTTCACTATTGTAGGAGACATTTCTACTGCTTTTGCTTAAGGTAAAAGCCCTGTGCAACAGACTGTGCATGCTGTGTACTGACAATATTTGGATCTAGGGATTTATGTAGCACACTATAAAGCCCTGTTTTTAAGATTCAAAATAAATACATTTTCACTGGTCAATAGCCAAGCTCCCTGACCTATTTCTGCCTGAAGATTTCTTCTTTATCTGAGCAGACCCAGGCACAGAGTAACTTGTGACAGGAGTGCTGTGTGCCTGTGCTAATGAAGTGTTTGGGTTGAAGATTTGGTGCATTACTGGCAGGCATGACCTTCCAGAGGTCTCTGGTTCTCACTGTTCCACCTTAAGTCAGCAGGGGCTGCCTGTGCCTCTTCTCTTTGAAAGTCAACCCCTAGATGTTTCCTTCAGGCTTGTAGCTGTTCAGTTCAAGTCACAAGATTACACCTGTGCTAGCCTGTCTGGAGCTTTGTGATGCAGATGCAAAAACGTCAGAGAAAGATTAATAGAACCAGCCATTGATTTATTATGCTCTGGAAAGGAAGGGATAAAGCAGGCTGGCATGATGCCCCAAGCCCAGCCTCCACCACGATTTCTCTTGTGCTGACATATATTCACTAGTATTTATCTTGTCTGTTCACCGTCCTTTTGCTTTAGTTTCTTGAACTTCAGGAGTTTATTTTGGCAGGCACGCTCCTCACTGCTGCTGCTGCTGCTGCTGCTGCTGGAGCTTTCCTCTGAGTTTTTGGAGAGGAGATACTTGATTGCAATCGAGTCCTTCTTGTTCATTTGCAAGCAGAGGCAGGAGGATTCGCTCACCTTAAATGACTTCCCCCACATACTCTGGCACATGTCAGTTCCATTTGCATACATCTGTGTGTCAAATAAGAAATGCCTCAATTACATTTAAATAGAATTGCATTAACATCAGTTTGTATCATATTGATAAACATTTGTCACTTTTTAAAAATTGGTACCAGGATATATTTTTATAATTTACTGTAATTTACTGTCTTGCTGTGTGCTATGCTTCATCTCTTCTGAGATGTCTGAAAATGTTACCCAGTCCCACAACTGGCAAAAGCAATTTGCCTGTTTTGAGAGCAAGTGGTTACACAAAATGCAGGGATCAACAGCTGCCCTTTGTTTCCACCCTGGGGCTGACAGCCCAGCAGCTCTCTGGGGCTGACAGTTAAAGCTGTGTGTGAGAGCCTTTACAACTTGTAGCATGTCAGGACACTCTGACATGCCTTGAAATCTGAGTAGTGCTGAAAGTGCCAGATAGTGCTTTGAATACAGGAATCTTTTTATTTACAGGCCAGAGACAGCCCAGTGGAGTCACAGCTCCGAGGGATCTCATTGTGCCTGCTGCAATGTACTTCATGGCCGGGCAGGACCTCACAGGCAAAGAGAAGAGACATAATTTAGCAACTGCTTGAAGAAAGTAAGTTTTTGTCAAGCTTCCAAGGTGCTTTTTCCAGTGGGGCAATGGCCTTTCTGGCTCAAGAAACTGCAAATTGCAGCTTCTTGTACCCTTATCAAGTGAAGCTGTTCTGTTCTTGCTACTATTGCATTTTGTAAGTCCTGTGTCATAGGACCTGTCAACCGCACAACAAAGATACTGTTTGTTTGTTGAGCTCACATTGTGACAATGTTCTGCCTGCCCAGCTTGAGTTTGTCTGAAGAATATTAGCAAGTTCTTCCCTGTGTCCCCTGTGCAAAAAATTATGTTGTCTTTTTCCTTAAAAACCTATCCTTTATGAATAATACAAAATCCATTTCAAATAGCCCCAAAGACTGTGTAGTCTGTAAAACAGCTTTTCAGCCAATACAATCTCTAGCCAGGGTTTGCACCATGGATGCTGCATGTGCTGGAGAAGGAGTATGGAGATTGGATGGTCAGGGTCAGAAAAGGAAAGCTCCTCTATCTAATTCTTTCCTTGTGTTCTTGGGGCAGGCAGATCTTAGCTCTTTCTTTCCTATTATTCCTGTGATTTTAAGTAGCATTAGATATTTTCTTCCAGCTCCTGTGCAGTTCTGAATTTCTACCTGCTTTTAGCTAATCATTCCAGAAAATATTAAAGCCTGTCACATGGGTTCGTTTAGGTCTTTATGCAAGAGACCTCTATACACCTATACTTGTGTCCTACAGGTTCTGTAAAGTGTTTGTACTTTTCTACTTGCTAAATTGATAATTTTTTTTTTACCTTCCTCCTAATTCTGCTTAAAGATCACAGGATAATCAGAATGCTGCAGCAAACACATGGAGCACATAGCCTGTTTCCCCAATATGTTCCTAAATTACTGCAAAGGATAATGACTCGAGCTTCTTGGAAAATGTCCTAGCCTGTGCATTAACACTGCTTGGGGAGCACCCAGCTGGGAGAATAATGACAAGGATAAAACTGGCCATGGTCAGTTGTGCCTCCTGAATATTCAGCATTTTTTCTTTATTCAGCAGCTGTCCCAAAGGGCCTTAGAACCACTTGCATACATACATATAGGGCTGCTGATTGCTCCTCTGTGTGAAAAAAGGAACTGTCTACAGTGCTCTGACATGAGAGAACCCTTCCATGAATTGAGTCCAAACCAAGGCAGTCTAGTGTTTGTATATCATGTAATCTTCATATGGGAAATGTCTGTTTTTTAAATTTCTCTGTAGAATTTTCATCTTTATGATTACTTGCCATGCAAGCCTATTTGTGGTGAAAAACATGGGTAGTTTAGGGTGTGGCTCCATTTAGTTAAGGAATAGCTGTGCCTGGCTTCAAGTGATAAGACCTTGGAATTTGCTGCATGTTTTTCCCTGCAGATGGTATATTTTCTTTAAGAAATAAGTGCAAGGGAACTCAAGGTTAAAAACTCCTGTCTCTGAAACAGGGACAGCTTGAACAGGGACTTGAGATTATTTATGGAGATTATAATTTTGTTTTTCACTTCATCTGGAACTACTGATGATTTAGCACATCTGGGAAACTAAGCTGTAAGTTTCCACAGCCCATTTGTTTTTGGCCACCTTCCTGAGTTTGCTGATTAGTGTCACTTTTGCAAGGCAGACAGCAATCCAGCACGAACTGGACTGTGTTTTCCACTTATATCAGTTGTTGAACTGACTTCTGGAAGTACATGCACTTGAATTGAATTCAAAATAATGAATCTGCAAGCCTTACTACCAGTGCCTAAGCACTTCACCTAAATTTTGTTTACTTCTTCAATTTGGGCAGTTTTTCATGGACTCAGTGAAGTTCAACTGTTAAAAATATTCCAATACACTTTTGAACTGCTAAACTTACTTGAGTCACTAGAAAAATCCTACCAGACTCTGGAAAGGTCTGTAGACCAGGTTCCAGGCAACCTTGCTCCTGTAAGTCTTGTCAGTTCTCATTTTATACACTTTTGCTCATAAAATTAGTTATCCCAACCATTAAACATTCTCAGAAAGATGGGATGGAGAAGGACAAGATGAAATAGAGAAAAGGGCAAAGATACCCAATAGGCAAGAAAACCTTAAAAATTCCTCAGTAGTTTGGGAATTCATATTCCAATTAAAAAAGACAGAGGTGTGTAGAGCCCCATATTGTGTAAGGAACCTTATGAAAACCATCTTAGTGTCTCTGTGTGAACAAAGTTCATTTATCTCACTTTCTAAATCCCACTGGGTTAAAATATCTGTGTTTCTTGGACTTTTGTTTCACAAGTAGAATGAATAGTGATTAATTAAATTTATATCTACCTACAGTGAGTGCTGTACATAAAAATGAATGCTTGAAAATTTGTATACTTAAAAAGTCTGATGTAGGAATGGCTTGAAACTGCTTAAGTAAAAATAATTCACTGATGGTATTTTACTCCCGTATATTCAGGGAAAAAACCCCCAGAACTCCTAATGCCATAGTTTCTGCTTCAGTTGATCAGGTTTTCTTACCTCATGGTATGGAATGCATTTATCCTTACAGTGGTTTTCTCCACTTTCATCCCACTCCCAGTCTGTCAGCCAGTTACGAACACATATGGAATCATCTTTGCAGGCTTCATACCTTCATGGAGATTAGTGTGGAAGATAAAGTTACTTCTCTCACATTTTTCATTGGACTCAGATTCAACTCAAAGAGATGTCCAGGGGTCTGTTAGTAATGTGGTGTGATTACAGTGCAGCTTAGCAACAGATCTTCAAGCAATGTGCACATTATCTTAGCTTGACATGTGCATAAACTCTGAGCTGTCCAGGAAAACCTAAATTCCCATGAAAACTAAACAGTTCACTCGCTACCTTTTATACTGACAGACTTAACAAAGGGTTCATGTTGTGGGTGTTTTCTGCTTGGTTATCTGATGTTTCTGAGTGGAGGTAATGCTGGGAGGGAGAGAGTGAGTTTCATGAATGCTGCTGTTCAGTATCATAACAGAGCAAAGGTGTGCTAAGGGTGAACTGTCACTTGAAGGAGATGTGGGGAAAGTTTGTATTATGAATTAACATGGGACAAGAAGAATGATGTTTGCCAGGCAGGGGAGTTGTTATGAGGAATGTGCACTAAAATAAGGAAATTCCACAAAAACCAAAATAGTGTAGAATAATAGGATGTCAGCCTCAAAATTACATTTTCAAAGAAGTTAAAAAGAGAAGGAAAGATAAGAGTTCTCTAGGGTATAGGTCTAAAATCTTAAATTTCAAATTATTTTTAATTTGTAAGTGGTAATGTAGGAAAAAACCTATAAATGACCTGGAATGAATAGAATTCTGGCTGGTTGATGTGATGAGAGGTCTCATGACTTACCATTATCCTCCTTTACCCTTATTCTACATAATTTCCTCCCTTCCACTTCTCTTTTATGCTGTACTTTTTGGCTCTTCCCTTTCTTAAGGACTACTTTCTGCAAATCAGTTAACATCTACTTAAATTTAATCTCATTGGCTTGTAGGACTATTCATACCAGTAACTGAGAGTGCCAAAACAATGAGGCACAGCTTCCAGAAAGTTAATATTTAGCATGGTATTCGTAATTAGTGCCTTTGAATAGATTTTCTGTTTGTCACTTTTAGTCTTCAGGGTCATGTTTCAAAAACTGTTTTGATATCACAAGGGCTGCAACCTTACATTTTTAAATGAAATATGTGGGTTGTCATGTGGTCATGAGAACTGGACATTGCAGTAGATTTGCAAATGCAGAAAGGTCAGAAGATGCATATCTGCAGTATCTTCACTCTGGTTTTGTGGGCTATTTGGCGGGAGAAAGAGCAATAACAGATGAAAGGTAACCATGGCCTGAAGTAAACAGCTCAGGGTCAGGAGACATGCACTCTCAATGGGTTCATCCCTGAATCTGCTGTCAGAGGTAGGGGCTCTGCTGGAAATAGAGGCAAAAATTTGAGAAATTAATATTCATGGTATCCATCTGGTTTCCTCAGGAATATGAATAAAATATATTAATTAAAGTGCTTCTATTTTATTCACCATTATTTATCGACTTGTCAAGATGACATGTTTCCTAATCACGATTATTACCTGACTGTGGTTTATTCTACAAGCAGGTGACAGGGCATAATTCCATTGGTAGGAATTTTTCTTTATCCCAATGGAAGTAATTATGAAGTCAAGTTTATGAAAAGTCATGATTTGTGAAAATTCTAATTTCTGCAGTCCAGAAACCCATAAGTTGTTTATTCGAACATTAACTAAATATGAGAAACATAAATACTTAAAAGATCCTCCCTGAACATATTAGTTCCATATGTATAATGAGCAGGATATTTTTATTTTAAAGCTTTTCCACTGTATTTTTTCTAATTAGCTCTTTCTCTTTTATAGGACAGAGGGTTCTTTCACAGGTGAATGAGAAAATTACTTGTACATTGAGCTCTTTCAAAAGCAATAGTTTAAGGACTAGTGAGAGCAAGGAATCCTAAAACAATAGGAAGAAAAGGAAGGCCCCAAGCTACTCAGATGGATTTCTTTTAAATTAAGTCACTGCTCATTGAGAATACTCTGCACATTTCTGGCCACAAAGACATACAGTATGCAGCAGGCACACTCACAGTATGTAGAGAAAGTAGGTCACATCACCAGCAGTGCTACGGCATGCTAAAGGGCCTCCACTGAATAGAACATGAAAAAATGTTACTTTAAATCACCAGAAAGAGTGGGAATTCTGTCCAGGCTCTTTTTTAGCCTGAGGCCTTAAGTAGGGTGAGGGAATGGGTTTGACACTGGCATTAGGCAGGCACAAAGACCAGCATGCAGGGTAATGGGCCATCAGTACATTTTTGATTCAGGCCAGGCGTCTGTGACGCCAACAGGAGCAATAGATCATTGCTCAGGGCTTGTTTAGAGCAGATCCTCTCTCTGCCAGGAGACTCTATACTGGAAAAGGGTCAGTGTTCCTGGGCAGCAGCTCTCAATCACCCCACTGTACTTTCCAGCAACAAAAGTTAAAAGTACAGTTTAC